AAATTGAGGAGACCGTCCCCACCGTCTTCAAGTCGCTACCTTATCGTGTGGCCTTGATGCACGCGATCCCACTTTCTGTGTGCGTGGGTGTGTAGGTATGCGTGTGTTTCGCGTTCTGGACTCCATCACCCCTAAGCTGAGAGTGCAGAGGAAGCTAAGAAGCCCGGTGAACTAATCGCAGGTCTATTTTTACTCACGTGATCACGCTCTTTCCCGCAACCACGCGCAGAGAGCGGTGCAGCTGATGACTGGTCCGGCCGGCGCGTAGCTTCCCCGGCACTGTCAGCTTAGGAATGCGCAGTGTCCTCCTCCCTCAAGGTCGCCGAGTCCTCTTCACTCACAAAGGAGAGATTAGTGACGGCGTGGGGAAAATGGGAGGGGAAGCCGTTCCGAGGCCGTCGGCGCGACCCCTCCCGTGCATACTTCTCTCTCTCGAATTCTTTCGTTTGTTTCTGCTGTTATTTGCTATTCGGGTTTCCAAAAACCAAGGTAGTAGAGATTGCTTAGACATGATAACCCTACAGCAAGAGGACGAAACGGGACTGACAGACACGAAGCTCCGGAATCAGCTCGAAGCCTAATGTCAAAATTAAGAAGAGACAATGATAAATCAAATGCGGAAAAAAAGGGGCTAGACTCTAAATCAAGGCCAACATCCGGCTAGACAATCCGGCTAGACTCTAAATCAAGACCAACATTGTCGTCTGCTATCAGTGCCTTGGCGCCGTGCAGGAGGCATTCGGGCTCTTATTGTGGCTGTCAAGATCATAGAGTCAACATGATAATCTATTATGTTGACTCTATAACCCGGACATCGTTTTTCTTTCTTTTTTTCCAGTTGGCGGTCCTGATGAGCCCATATCGCTGGCGACTGCTTAATATGCATAGTGAAGGAGCAAATCTTCGCCATTAAGTTCTGTACCTTGTTATTGTCTTGTTTACTTTGCCGAAAAGCACCTGAATCGCGTTTTGAAGAAATAACATAAAATTTACAAGCGCTCGAGCAATTTCAACTTGTTGAGGTGAAACGAACGCGCCTAAACCAGCGTATTCAAACATGCTTCCACTATTAAGCCAATGGTATTGTCAGAGTAACACACACCGATCATTCTATGCCACTGTGTTCTTGAAATGACAATGAGCCAATGGTACCAACAGGACAACAGTAACCATTATAAGCTTGTGTTTATCAAACATTGCCAAGCCAACAGTGTCCATTTTATGCCAGTCCCCATCAAATATTGGAATGCCAACGGCACGGACAGACCAACGTTGACCATTTTATTCCAGTATTCATCCTATGTTAGCAAGCCAACGGTACTAAAGGCCGACATTGTCCGATTTACGCAAGTATTTGTCCAATATTCGCAAGCCAATGGAACGGACAGGCCAAGATTGCCCATTTTATAGCAGTGTTCATCCAATATTTGCAAGCCAATGGAACTGACAGGCCAACATTGTCCGGTTTACTCCAGTATTCATCCAATATTCGCAAGCCAATGGAACTTACAGGCCAAGATGGCCCATTTTATACCAGTGTTCATTCAATATTCGCAAGCCAATGGAACTGAGAGGCCAATATTGCCCATTTTATGCCAATGTGCTTCCAATATTGGTTGGTCATTGGAGAAGCTGGGCCATCACTGAAGATTCCATATAATGGTATAGCCAATATTGGAAGCAGATTGGCTAAAGTGGACCATCATTGGACCTTTTTTTACCAATGCTCTTCCAATATTGGCCCAACACCCTGTGCTGCCTGGGTTACTTTTTATCTATTTATGTGCTTGCCTCTACATGTGTACTTGCATATTGTGGGCACAGGGGATTTTTTCTGTAATTTTTATGTGTTTTTTGTTGCTTTATATTTTGACGAATGTAAAATGCATTTGCTATATATGCTTTTAACGTTTTTTTTTATTATTTAAAAATACAGTACTGGATACGTCACCCACGGAGTGTCTATCTTTCTAGTTTCTTTTTTTTTTCCTGTTTGAGAATGGCGATCTGTGCACTTCGTCGTGTTTCTTGGTGTTAACGTTTATAGGAACTGCAGTGTTGTTGCATGCTGGGATTTTTTTTTCTTTCTGGAAGAGGGGGGTTGTGTTTTGTTTGTTTACCGCTGCAGCTTGCCGCCCTTATAGGCCGCTTGCACCTTGTCAGGGAACTTGTTTGCCTTTTGTGCCTGTGGAACGTTCAAGTCTCAATTGAAAACGAGCGTGTTGGTTAATAGATACAAAACTTGAAAGTATAAAACAGCGAGGACGGGAACAGGACATCTTGAGAGATGTCCTGTTCCCGTCCTCGTCCTCGCTGTTTTATATTTTCGGGTTTTGTATTTGTTCGAGTCTACCTGTACTGGATTTGACTTAAAAAAGTGAAAGCCGTTTACAAATCCCTGTAACGCCGAATTGGAGCGCAGCTCTTGAGGAGGAGGAGTGAAGGGTACTGAGGGGAGGGTAGACCCCTCCTCCTCCCCTCATTCTTTAATATGCTCCGGGGGGGCGGTCACGTGACCTCGGGGGGGGGGGGGGTGTCACGTGACTTCGGGGGAGGGGGGTCACGTGACCTCAGAGGGGTCACGTGACCTCAGAGGGGTCACGTGACCTGGGGGTCACGTGGGGGTCACCTTGTGGTCACGTGACCTTGAGATGACCTTGGGAGGGGTCACGTGACCTTGGGGGTCACGTGACCTCGGGGGTCACGTGACCTCAGAGGGGTCACGTGACTTGGGGGTCACGTGACCTTCAAAGGGTCACGCGGGGTCTTGGGGTCACGTGACCTTGAGATGACCTTGGGAGGGGTCACGTGACCTCGAGGGGTCACGTGACCTTGGGAGTCACGTGGGGTCACGTGACCTTGAGATGACCTTGGGAGTGGTCACGTGACCTGGAGGGGTCACGTGACCTTGGGGGTCACGTGACCTTGGGATGACCTTGGTTACGCCGACGGCGACGGCGACGGCGACGGCGACGGCGACGCCGCTCAAGCCGGGAACGGGCCCCTAAGAGCTGCGCTCTAAAAAATGAAAGCCGTTTACAACTCCCTGTAACGCCGAATTTGAGCGCAGCTCTTGAGGAGGAGGAGGGAAGGGTACTGGGGGGATCAGTTGACCTCGGAAGGGGGGGTCACGTGACCTCGGGGGTCACGACACCTTAGAGATCACGTGACCTCGGAGGGAGGGTTTCGTGACGATGACGTCATCAGTGATGATGATGATGACGATGACGATGCGGATGCCGATTACGTCATTGGCATCCGCATCGCCATTATGACTGATGACGTCATCAGTGACGTCATCATCAGTGATGACGTCATCGTCATCACTGATGATGATGCATCGTCAGTGATGACGATGACGATGACGATGACGTCATCGTCATCGTCATCATCAGTGATGACGTCATCGTCACGTGACCCCCAGGTCACGTGACCCCCCCCCCCTCCTAGGTCCTCCCGAAGGAACCCGAGGTCCTCCCGAGGTCTTCCCGAAGGAGCCCGAGGTCCTCCCGAGGTCCTCCCGAAGGAACCCGAGGTCCTTCCGAGGTCCTCCCGAAGGAACCCGAGGTCCTTCCGAGGTCCTCCCGAAGAAACCCGAGGTGCTTCCGAGGTCCTCCCGAAGGAACCCGAGGTCCTGGGGGGGGTCATGTGACGATGACGTCATCAGTGATGATGACGATGACGATGCGGATGCCGATGAAGTCATTGGCATCCGCATCACCATCGTCATCGTCCCTGATGACGTCATCAGTGACGTCACTGACGACGTCATCGGCATCCGCATCGTCATCGTCATCATCACTGATGACGTCATCGTCAGGTGACCCCCCCCCCCCTTCGTCCTCCCGAAGGAACCCGAGGTCCTCCCGAGGTCCTCCCGAAGGAGCCCGAGGTCCTCCCGAGGCCCTCCCGAAGGAGCCCGAGGTCCTCCCGAGGCCCTCCCGAAGGAGCCCGAGGTCCTTCCGAGGTCCTCCCGAAGAAACCCGAGGTCCTCCCGAAGGAACCCGAGGTCCTTCGGGAGGACCTCGGGTTTCTTCGGGAAAATTTACCCATAATGCACCGCGCGGTTACGCCGACGGCGACGGCGACGCCGACGCCGCTCAAGCCGGAAACGGGTGCCCAAGAGCTGCGCTCTAAAACATGAAAGCATGTTTACCTGTAACCCCTGTAACGCCAAATTAGAGCGCAGCTTTTGAGGAGGAGGGTGGAAGGGTACTGATGGAGAGGGTATACCCGTCCTCCCTCCTCCTCACCTCGTCATCCTGCCAACTAGTCTGCCACGGAGGCCACGTGTCCTCACGGGGCCACGTGACCTCACGGCGGGGGGGGGGGTCACGTGACCTCAGTGGGCCACGTGACCTCAGGGGGGTCACGTGACTTCAGGGGTGTCACGTAACCTGAAGGGGGTCACGTGACCTCAGGGGGCCACGAGACCTCAGAGGGAGGGGGGTCACGTGACCTCAGGTTACGCCGACGCCGACGGCGACGGCGATGCCGCTCAAGCCGGAAACGGGCGCCTAAGAGCTGCGCTCTAAAATGATTGATTGATTGATTGATTGATTCAATGATTGATTAACATGCGTGGTGTCGTTCGCAATTCCCTGGACTTCCTCGAACTTAGAATGAAACCACAGTTACCTACAGTTAAAGGGGAAGCTGAAGCGGTTTCCGCAACTGAGGGCCTCTTCAGTCCACTGCTCTACCAACTGAGCTATTGACTGGACATAAAGCGGTTTCTTGTGTTCATGTTTCTTGCGTCATCCTTCGTTCCTAGGTGTTCTTATCGGCTAATGGAGCAGTCTCGTTGGCCGCGCAGCGATGACAGGACTCGGCAGGCCATGACTTTCTTAACTTGTCAAATGGCTACGGTACGAAACAATGACGCAGCTTACTATTTAAATTTCAGGTAGTGTTTCTAGTGTTTTCTTCGACGCCAGGCACAAAAAGAAAAATTGAATGACGCACACTTATTGATGTCGTTTTTTGTTGTTGTTACGCAGTGGAGCCCCTCTCTGTGAAGATCCAGAACCCGCAGCGGTCGTTCGAGGTGGACGTTTCGGCCGAGTTCCGGTGCCTTGTGGTTGGCTCCAGGCCCCTTCCTCAGGTGAGTTCGGCTAAAGCCCCTTACTTTGTCACCGAGTCATATACCACGAAAACGCAGAGCGAGTTACCGTGTACCTGAGTATGTTTACACAACTAGAGGTTAGTCAGCACAGTCCGCGCTGAGCGCGTGCTGACGTCGAGCTTCCACAGTTCTTTTGCAACGTGCATTCCGCACCATCAAAAGTACCGGTCTTAGCAGCCTATTGATGTGAGCTCGTTCTGAGCATGCGCTCTAAACAGCACCCACAAATATGGCGTCCAGTGAATACTCCCTATTGGGGGAACTTTCTCGAACTTGTTGTCCACGCAGTCCGGGGTTTACTAACACGGCATAACAAAGAAATTGAACGTCGCCTAGCACGGTCTGGGCACGAGCGCTTCGCTGCGACCAGTGCTTTGGTCGCACAAGGAGCGGCCTTTGAGCCGTCATCTTTGATTTCCCTTAGCAAAAGCAAACAAGAAAATTCGGTTTGTTGTCCCCACAGTTGGAGTGTCCCGCTAGAGGCGGGACTGTTGAATCTCCTCCCTAATGACTTGGCTGGCACTTGGCGGCTCGAACCAAGCTATGGTTAACGAGAGGCCATCACCTTACCTCCTCGAAAGAACGAGGAGAAAGACGGCGGGTTGTTTTGGTTGAGTTTCCTCAACGAAGAAATAATAAGAAGTTTAATGTAGTCTATACAGATAAGCTCTCGGCATTTAATAGCTGCATTTTCAGTGATGGTGCCTAGATGTTTTTATGTCCTTTACATGTCGTGCCTTGCAGTGATACATCATGGCATACCTGCAGTGGATAGGAGCACGGACACCAGTTTGCAATTGGTCCGCTTGCCTTCGACGATACAGTCACGAGCATCAACGCGACGAGGAGCCTGATACAAAGCCATCACAATTACGCGCGCAGTCGACTAATTTCATAAATATGAATCGTCGGGAAACACGTAATGTTCAAAAACATTGCAGTCACTCTCGCGCTGCAGCCTCTCGTGCTCATCGCACACATTCCGCCATAACTCCTATGGTTAATGGAATTATTTGTGCACCCGACGAACGACGCAGTGATGGCGAGGTTACCGTAGATTTTGTTTTAACACTAACACGGTTAAACGAAACACTCGAAACTAACTAACACACGACGCAAGTCTCTAAGCCTTTTCGCCCATACGCTCGGTGGATTCATACCCCGTGTCAGCGGGCAATCCGAAAAAAAAAAGGAAACACCTGGTCGAGGGTGCGTCAGTTGCTCGGTGGTATGAGGTTATGCGAAAGAGGTCTCTAGCCAATACCGCCTAAGAAACAAGGACTGCGCCTAGCTCGCGTCAGCGTCACCGTAGTCAGTGGGTCTTCCAGCATCTGACAACGCGGACGCCACAAGAGGCTTCCTTCTGCCGCTTTGCGGCGTTCCTTCGACGATTGTCAGTGTGCTTGCCTCTTGGATCGGGTTGAGAATCTGCTAACAATAACGACAGACGTTTACTTTGCCTTTGGGGCGGTATTGGTACAACCCGGCCGTGGACGCATATAACATATACCGCGCCGATTTAACATTGCGACCAAGATTTTTTTTCGCGTTTACAGACAAAATGATTCCGCCTGTGTGCTCAGTTCGCCGTAACATCCGATGGATGTTTTATATCCGCCCATTTTACTCTATTTTATTCGAGACCGACGACCGAACAGCAGAGCGGCGCTCCCACCCTTTGGTAGTTAAATATTGACGCTTGAAAGCAAGAGTCAGAGGCTTTAGGGGACGCTAAGAAAAAAAAAAATGGCTGTCGTCATTTCGAGATATATTGAGATGACCTTAGTTGTAACTGCGCTGTCCTCGGTTTGTCATAACGTCCGGTGAATGTTTTATATCGGTTCATTTTACTGCGGTTTATTCGAGACCGATGAGCGAGCAGCAGAGCGCCAAGGGCGTTCACTTCTTTGGTCGTTAAATATTGACGCTTGAAAGCCATAATCACAGGCTTTAGGGAACGCTACAAAACTGGGTATCATCATTTTGAGATTTATCAAGGTGATTTAAGTTGTAATGGTGCTGTTCTCAGTTTGTCTTAACGCACGGTAAATGTTTTATGCGTGTTTTATTGTTTCTTTCTTCTCGTTTCTGGGGAATATATTCGGATAAAAGGAACAAGGAAAAAGTGACAAATCCAAACGAGGCCTCTGCTTGTGGTCTAAACGAGGTTATGTGGGACAAAGTGCACTACAAATCTGGGTATATCTTCTTTTAAAAAATTTGAGGGAGTATAATAAGGATGACCCCAGTTTTTATTCGGGAATAAAATCCTAAATGTACAGAGTTCTACACCTTTAATAAAAGTGTACCTAATTTCCAGTAAAGCTGTCAAGCCGGGGCGTTCGTAAAATAATTATACATCTATGGGTGGCTAGTTTTAATTTAAACGGATGATGAAAAAACGAAAATGGGAGGGGGTTTCCGGTACACTGATACCGTATTCACTGCCTATGTATCAGACTTGGCTGAGATTCGATGGAAGTTTAACCTTCTCGACCAGCTTAAGAAATCAACTAAAGTTTTCTTTATTAACTTTTTAATCACTGTTTTGGTGGGTCCTGTTGCAATTGCAGTATTCGCGGCAATCATAATCGGAGGTTAAACCAATATAAAGGTTTAGTGGGTGGTACAGATTTATGTTCTTCACTGTCTGAAACGACCGTTTAATGTCTTCTAAACAATATAGAACAATCTTTCCTTAAATATTTCAATAAATGCTTTTAAAGACTAAGAATTCATTGCCCACAGGTGTGCTGGATATTGGGTACTATATACTGACGGTTAATTCTACTTACTGGTTACTTCGAACTACTCCTCTTGCGGTCTGAAAGTAGCACCGTGAGCCGAACACTCGTGGCGCGTAAAAAATACCGGCATGGCCACAAACGGCGTAGCGTGAAAACTACGTAAAAAGGTCGCTGGGAATGTTGTTTTTCTCGTGTGTTTTTTTTTTTTTTTTTTGGTACGGTATTAACGCTGAGGTATCCTTAGCAGCATATGCAACTGCTAAAAAAACAACTCCATTCACCAAAAAAAGAAAAAAATCGATTTTTAGGAAGAGGAGTGCTCGCGCTTGCCGTAACGTGCGGCGAAAACGGCCGCTGCCTGGCGGCGAGAGAGTGAAACAGAGGGACAGGGGATTGAATGCACACCGCTGGAGTGACAAAACTGTGCTAACACCTATATGTTCGCCACCGGTACTACGCGTTAAACCGGTCACAACACCGCCAATGCATCATAAAGAGGCGGCCAGCTGCAGACGCCGTAGGAGACGCGTTTCCTGCCACACTGGCCATACAAACAAATTGTCTGCAGACACGTGTGGAAGCAAAACATGCCCCGAACAAGCATGATGCGTGCCCGCAGATATTTTTTTTTTGTTTGTCATCGTGTCTTCAGCTAACGGCGTTTTATTTTTGTATAAAGTGTGGGCGGACTGACTGTGGCTTTCTGGTGCCCGTTTTATTCGTCGGAAATTCCACGAAGCCACATCTCCCGAAGCATACGTATACACAGAAATATTTTCCGCGTCATTGAAAGAACACCGTAATCAAATATTCGCTATATTCGAGGATAACCTTTTTTGGCAATAGAGTTGAAGGAAAAGGGAACACACCTGCCTCCTCCCATTTTGAGCGCTCGTTAAAGCTGGGCGGACGTCTTTTTCCTGCTCTCCCCAGAAGCGCCAAGAAAATTTGCTCCCAAAGTATGGGAACCGCAAACTAGAAATTCACTTCAGTGCCCTAAGAGGAAAAAAAAAATAATGATAACGAAGGCGTTCGAACTATCTTAGAAATAAAACGTGCACCCCAATTCAATCGAAGGACAAAACGTTCTTTATTTAAAGATTTCATTCCTCTTCGTTTTTTGTTTGTTTTTTGTTTTATTAACGTCGGGGAAAATTTCTCTTAAGCTAGGGAAAGTGCCCCCCGGCTAAAGATAAACATCCAAAGAGGCTTCGGCGCCGGTTTTTCCGGGTTTTAATGAAGCCAGTCGATGCGGACCGAGGCCCCGGCTGTTCAGGTGTCTCTGATTCGGGCTCTTAATTCCAGGTGATTTAGAATAATGGGGCCCGAAAAAACGTTCGGCATAAGCTATTTGATTAGGGGAAGCGGCGAAAATGGCCGAGCGCTTTGCCTCCACTTACCCGAATGCGCGCTTCAGCTTTTGATTGGCACGCGGTTAAGTCGAAATCCGCCACAAAGCGGTAACCTTGATAAAATGAAAAAAACAAACACGCACACACACACAAAGGATCTACTGTTTTATGGTAATTACGGAACGATTGCCAGAAAGAGCAAGAGAGAGAGAGAGAGAAAGCGATAAATTCGTAGATTTTTTTTTTTCGAGATTGTGTAGTTTATAAAATGACATGATATACATTTCGTGTCCCATCTTTATGTTTGTTTTTTCAGTCATTGATCTGCACGTCGAGCGACGCGCGCGAAGAGTTTGTTAGACCGCGTGTCTGTTGATTTGTTTGTCTGGGACGTCAGGCAGATTGAATGGCTGAGCTTGAGCCACGATTTTGAGTATTGAAGTCGAGGAATTTTTAAATTAATAGGAGAGGGGTATGCCGACAAAGAGAGAAAAAGGAAGAGAGAGAGAGAGAGATGGAATGCTTCGTGTTGATTGAAGCGTCGCCGTAGGTGCATACTCCCCTTCAATGCAACGAATCTCCTAGTTTCGATTGCCTGGCTGAAATGAACGCTTGACGCTCGTAATATATCCAACTCGCGCACGGTTTTAGTATGTGTGAATTTGTTGTGTGGCGAGGTAATCAGAAAACTGATTATTGAACACACGACACTTTAGGTTTATTACGGGCGTAAAGTCTTTGCCGATCCCGAACATCATCGCGGTCGAAAGTCGTTGCGCGTGCTATAGCGCGCCCTCTCTACAATCCAGAAGTGAGGAGTACCAAACCAGCAGTGTCGTTCAGGGTCACGTGGACGGTGGAACCTAACAGTCTTGCGGAA